TTTTGGATGTTCATTTGTTACTAGAATTGACCAAGATCAGACTGTTGGCAGGGGACCCAGCCACCTAGTGGGGCAGAGGACTAGAATCCACACAACACCTGCCATGGAGATGTTGGGAACTCTCAGGTAGACCCAGGGTTTGTTGACAAGCCACGGCAAAGCTGGAGGGGTAGTGGTGGCTGAAGCAGGACTCGGGAGTGGGGTCTGCAGGCTCCCAGGCAGTGCCTTGGGAGCCCCAGCCAGGCTAAGTGTGATCCCTCAGCAGGCCTGTCAGCAGAAGGTATTCACTGGGGAGAAGCTTCCCTGGGTGGCCGCTGGTGAGAGGGGCCATCTCTTAGTGACCCTTCTTCTTCATCAGCCCCCCGGCCCCAGGAGCCCTGTGAACACGGAGGGGCTTCTACAGCATCTTACAAAAGGTGTGCCAGAAAGGAAGCCGCCAGCCCCAAGCAGAGCTACCAGTGAATGTGTATTTTTTAATCATTTTTCCCCAAATATAAATTTATTTTAGGACATTTGGGAAATGCAAGAACTTAGAAATGTAAAAAACTGCCCTTTGGTCTCACTCTTCAGAGATCACTACAGCGATGTTTGGTGTGTTTTCTTAGCCTCTTTTTTAAAATTTTAATGCTTATTTATTTATTTTGAGACAGAGAGAACATGAGTTGGGGAGGCACAGAGAGAGGAGAGAGAGAATCCCAAGCAGTTTCTGCGCTCTCAGCAGAGCTCGATCTCATGAATCACAAGACATGACCAAAACCGAGATCAAGAGTTGGACAGTTAGCTGACTGAGCCACCCAGGCACCCCCTTAGCCTCTTAAAAAAAATTTTTTTTTAATGTTTATTTATTGTCGGGAGACACAGAATCTAACCCAGGCTGCAGGCTCTTGCTGTCAGCACAGAACCCCGACGTGGGGCTCGAACCCACGAGACTATGACCTGAACCAAAGTCGGATGCTTAACCAAGTGAGTCACGCAGGTGCCTCCCCACCCCCTGACTCTTTCTAATGCACATGTATGGTATTTGTTTTACAAATCGGGGTTTACTTTGCTTAGAACCGTGTCCCTGCTGACTGGTTTAGGTAGCAGCTTCCTTACTGTCACACATCTGTCCTTTCCTCACACCTTCACTGTATTTGTTGGCCCCGTAGCAGACCTGTGCACATTTGCTTGTGGCTGAGGTGGACTTTCCCCATCAGGGTTACAGATGTGGAGGGACTGTTTTTAACCATTTGATTAATCATGAAAAATGCCAGTCTTGTTTTCATTTATATTTCTTGGCCTTTTCGTGAGTAAATTCCCTGTAAGCTCTTGTACCTATTTTTATTAGGTTTTTAAGCCTCTGTGTTGAGCTCCAATCCCTTTCCCTTAATACGTGTTTCTTCAACTGTGATACAAACCACAGGTCTTTTGGTGGTGGGTGAGCATGGAAGAGATGGGACGGAAACTGCATCACACACTTGAAGAAGTGATATATTACAAATATTTTTTCCCAGTTCCTTATTTGCTTTTAGTTATGAGGTTTTTAATAAGAAAAATACATGTTCCCTATGGGCAAAACTGTCTTGTTATGATTAGAAAGGCCTTATCCACCCCAGGATTTTATAAAACACTTTCTTTACTTTGGTTAAGTTACAGAAATACTACATATTTGCAGTAAAACAATAACGAAATCTCAATACAAAAATAGGAAATATTTCCCTCTTCCCTTGTCCCACATTCCCACCTTACTCCCCAGACATACACCTGTTAAGTCTGGGTAGTTCATTCCAGACTTTTTTCTCTACATTTCAAATATTCAGCCTATGTGTGCCTGTGTTTTTACAAACAGGATTACTCTAGTGTTTGAAATGACTTTTAGTGTGTCAAGTCACCGGGCTAACCTGCCCCCAGAATTCCCTTTCAGCTGAATTCCTGAGTGGCAGGCTATGCAGGAGGAAGGAAATGGTGGTCATTTGTAGCTCACACACCTACCTAATACTTAGACACTAACCCAAAGGCTGTTGTGAAGTGATTTTGCAGATGTGATTAAAGCACCTAATCAACTGATTTTAAGTATCTTGGTAGGTCTGGAGTAATCAGTTAAAAAGCCTTTAAAAGCTTAGGTTGGGGCGCCTGGGTGGCTCAGCTAGTTGAGCGTCCAACTCTTGATTTCAACTCAGGTCATGATCTTGGTTTGTGGGATTGAGCCCTGAGTCAGGCTCCAAGCTGCCCTTGCCCATCTCTCTCTCTCTCTCTCTCTCTCTCTCTCTCTCTCTCTCTCTCTCGCCCTTGCCCATCTCTCTCTCTCTCTCTCTCATTCCTCTCAAAATAAATAAATTAGCTAACTAAATAAGCAAGCAAGCAAGCTTAGGTTTCCCTATGCCTCCAGCCTGTGGAAAAGCATCAGCTGGTGATCTTGTCAGCAAATCCTCGAAGTATTTGCAAAATGTGGTTTTCTCACTAAGTAAACTAAGAATATACTTGAAGAGGTGCCCTTTTTCAAAGCACAAAGCCAGTTTTCAGCCCTGACTTTTTTCCAAAATTTAAAAAAAACTGTGGTAAAATATCCAGTGTTTGCCATCTTAACCATTTTTAAGTGTACAGTTTGGTGGTATTAAGCGTATTCATACGGTGGACCCGTCACAACCATCCATCTTGAGAACCCTTTTCATTTTGTAAAACTGAAACCATCCCCATTAAACAACTCCCCGTTCCCTTCTCCCAGATCCTGGTAACTACCATTCTACTTTATGTCCCTATGATTTCTGACTACTCTAGGAACCTCATCTTAGTGGAGTAAAACAGTATTTGTCCTTTTTTGACTGCTGATTTCACAGAGTATAATGTCCTCTGAATTTATCAATGTTGTAGCTGTGATACAATGTCTTTCCTTTTAAAAGGTTGAGTAATATTTACTATTGTATGGTTGGACATTTTCCTTATCCACTCATCTGTCATGGAGACTTGCATTGCTTCCACCTTTTGGCGACTGTAACTAATATTGCTGTGAAGATGGGTGTACAAACATCTCTTCCAGACCCTGCTTTCAATTCCTTTGTGTATTCACCCAGAAGTGGAATTGCTAGGTCATAAAGTAATTGTGTTTAATTTTTTTACTGTTTTCTACAGTGGCTGCATCATTCTACACCCCGACCAGCAGTGCATGAGGGTTCCCTTTCTCCGAATGCTCGTCAACACTTGTTTTTTTGTTGTTTTGATAGTAGCAATCCCAATGGGTGTGAGCCCTGACTTTTTTTAAACAGTAGTATTCAAATGGACACTAACAGGAAGCAGCTCTCCTCTGAAAAAGAATTCAAAAGTATCAGTGACATCTGGTAGAGTGAATTTTGTAAAAGGCGTATCTCTGAGTACCACTTCAGCCATATTTCAGTTCCATTCTAATTAAACTTGAACTCCCGTTCTGAGTGCAGGAAATCCACATAATTTTTGGAAATCCTATTTTTCAGTTTTTATGTTCCTTTAAAGAAAAATAAGTTTGCTGACTCAGGTTACTCAGTCTTTCAAACAGGTTTCTATTGAGCATGTGATCCTTGTTGAGCACAGAAGAGATGCATGATGGAAACATCACAGGCTCTGCCTTTGAGGGACCTGGGCCTGAGTAGGAGAAAAGGAGTCACACAGGAGAGGGAGGAGATGGGGCCTCAGGAAGAGCCTGGTGCCAATAGACAGCCCAGGAGGGGTGGGGACAAGGTCTCTCTGTGCTGGACACAGGCCCTTGTCACCAACCTCCTCAGGCCCTCTTGGCCCAACTTCCAACTCCCTTTTTGTTCTCAGGATTCCCAGCTCCTGACCTTCTCAGGCCGGGGGATTAGGGAAATTCTGCTTCTGTGCAAGGCCCTTGGGTCTGTTGGTTCTTCCCACCAGCTTTGGAGCCAAGCAGGCCTAGATCCAAAAGACATTCCTAGAAATAGCAAACAACCCTTTAGAGCAAGGCTTTGATACAAGCCAACAAATCCAGAGCCCACACTCCCAACTATCTCCTTTATCAAAC